GTTCCTCGCTCAGCAGTGGTGGGTTTTCTAAATATGTTGAATTGTAATTTATTTAGGATGACATTTCTGTGTATTTGTAGATGTAAGAAGTTAAGTGTTCGATTACTTTCCAATTCTATTGTAAAGTTTAAGTTATTGATATTATTGAAAATGTTAAAAAGTGCCGATAACTTTGCAGAGTTACCCTCGTAAATAATGAAGCTATCATCAACATACCTTGCATAAAATTTGATGTCTCTAATGAAAAGGTTGTATTTGGATGAAAAAAGTTCTTTTTCGAATTCGTTTACAAAGATGTCTGAAAGTATACCAGAGATGGGAGAACCCGTAGGTAAACCGTCCATCATTTTATAAAACTTATTATTGAATGTGAAAAAATTCTGATTACAAATTATCTCAAGAAGATCAATGAAGCATGAAATTTCTAAAATGTTAAGGTTATTCAAATCTTGTGATTTTATAAGATGTTTTTTGACAAAATCTAAAGTTTGTGATATAGGAACATTTGAGTAGAGATTTTTTATATCAAAAGAAATTAATTTACAATTTTTATTAAGGTTGAAATCTTTGAGTCTATTAATCAAATCTGAAGAGTTTTTTATGGTGTTAGAAAATAGAGGGTTAAAATGGTGATAAAGAAAGGTTTGAGCGATTTTTGAAATTTTACTAGTAGGAGTATTAATGTTACCTATGATAGGACGGATGCTTTTCTCAGGTTTATGTAGTTTAATGAGACTCTTCAAACAGGGTATGAGAGGGTTCATTTCTATTGAGTTAAAAGGATTGATATTACATTTTTTTTTTTTTTCAAGTGGGTCAAATTATTTTTAATGAATTTTTTATAGGTATTATTAAATGTAATCGTGGGGTTTTTATTGATTTCTGTTATGTTGTTATCTAAAAAGAAGTCTGAGGTTTTTCTAATGTACAGTTCCTTATCCAAAATAACAATACCCGCACCCTTGTCTCCAGTAGTAACGATTAAATTATTATTATCAATCTTGGATTTAAATTTAGAAATCTTTTTATTTAAAAGGGCTGAGCGAGGAACAGAGCGTGTTCTACTGTTTTGTTTAACATTATATGACGCCGGCGGGTTGCCGATACCCTCAATCAAGGATCTATTGTCTGAAAAAATCTGTTTAATGGACTGATTGTAGGTTAATTGGGATTCAAGCTTTATGGCAAAATCTACAGGCTTTATATTAGAAGGCAGAGCAAATTTGACACCCAGATTAAGAATTTCAACATCGTCATCATCCAATTTTATATCACTTAGGTTCGTGAAACGAGGGGCAAATTTAAAGCTATCAATATCTGAGATATCAATATTAATAGTAGGATTGTCAATATTAATTCTTTTAATTGTAAAAGTTTGGGTTGAAGTGTCATTCTTATCTTTATTTATATTTTTATGTTTATTTTTAACATTATTATTAGGGGAGTCAAACTTATTGAAATTCTTGTTATTACAACCATGGGATTGTTTTAGAAAATTATCTCTATCTTTAACTAACCTATCCAGTTTCCTTAATTTTTTGTTTTTATTTTCCAGGGTAATGGGGGTAATAATCCAGGGTTCTTGTAATGGATTTCTTCATTAATTTTGTTGTTTAGAGCTTCATATTCGATGTAGTGTAAATGTTTTGCAGTGCTCTATGAATAAATTTCAAGATGGCTTCTTGCTCGGACAGGATTTTGTATTGGATTTTGATGGTATTTCGGATGAGACGTTGTTCCATTTTTTGTTTATGACTATTGAGTATTGAGTCTATTGTGTAAAATCACTGGTAACTGTAAAGAAAAGAACTGGTGGTGACAGTGATTTTAAAATCACCGTTATCGATATATCGCTCATCTCTATTTTATAGATGTAGTTATTTGTACTTCTCTGTCATTGACATCTGCCTCAATCTGTATGCACTTATTATTGATGTCTATCTTGTTTGATAACTGTTTGCATGATTTTGAACTTTGTTCTATATCCTTCCTATACCGGGTAAGGTTTCATGTGAAGCTGTTTCTATATCTTTGATTCACCAAGATATATTCTCTGTGGTTACGGCAGATATTATCCACTCCGTTGTCTCTGGTAGACGTTCAGATACATAGTTGTCTTTTTCGCAGTGCGCGTTTATCGAAGATCATCAAAAGTTGAATTTCGAGTTGGTCGTTGTTTTTATATCCCTAAATATCCCTAAACCTTATGAATGGGATTGAGAGCTGTAAAAAACTTTACAAGTGTTTCTGCGTTTAAATGAGCGCAAGACGCATGAACACGACGTTTTAATGCTGATGATATTATCAAAAATAAAATCTTATACAGGAAGATACGGGACATATCTTCCGGATCAGAACATTATACGGTTGACGGATACACTATTCTGAAGCTATTTTTCAAATAAATCTTTTTCGAAATGTTTATAATAACCGCATGGGAACTGTTTAAAGTACCACCTCGGCCGGTTCGCCGCGCCTTTCATAACTCGTTTCTCACGTGTACTCACCAATAGATTCGACACGGAAAGAGCAATAAACTTTTTCCGTGAATCGCATTGGACGACTTAATACAAGAGTGTTCGATACGATGTATCAGGCAGAGCCGACAGATCAGGAATTGAAGAGATAGTGCGTATCATTTTAAGACATTACTTCTGATTATAGATGGCTGAAAGTGTACGGGTTTATGTAGGTGATGTTGGTCCAGCACGGCTTTCAAGAAAACGGTCTACTGCGGTGCAGAAAAGTTGAAATCGACATCATATGGTCATATATCAGGTTTTCTAATGGCGAACAGAGAATATGTTGAACCATCACCCAACTCAAGGAAAGCCAGATGATTTCACCTTTTTCCTTTTAAATTACAATTAGTTTTAAAATCGCATCAAATCGTAACTTCTAATCTTCCAGGAGTAACTTTTTTATAAAACCTTTCGATGTCATGCGGCTCCTCCTCTGGAAACAGTTCTTCTCCTCATTTATACCTGACTCTCAGCCCCTTCTTCTTCTTCTTAAAGTTTTAGGTTGGTAATGGGATTTGGAAACGAGTCCTTCTTTTCCCAGCCACTGTACTCTCAGCCCCTAATCTTTTCTTCGCATTTGAGCTTCTTATCTGTCACAGCAGACTTACCATTTGTGCGTCCTTTCCACGGCGACTTTTGTGGTCAAGCATTCTGACTATTTCTTCGTTCCTCATCGGTCAATCATTGGTTATAAGGCTAATGAAAAACAGTTAATAAGAATGATGTTATTTTTTATCACAGATATTCATGTCATGCAGTCTACTTCTCTTCTTAACTTAAGTCTTCAAGTGAGTGGTTTAAAATTAAAAGTTGATTTTAAAATTTATTGAGGGTTCTAATTTATTGACTAACCAAAATTGGGGGGAGGTTGTATATCAGCTCCTAAGAGGTAAGGTATGTTAAGTCATAAACTCGAAATTGTTAAGGGGAGAGAGATTTGAAAGTGGATTTAATGTTTAAATAAATACACATGGTGGAGATAACTCATTTCGCAAAAAAATGTGAGTTAACACACCTTACCTCTGAGGTGCTGATATAAAGTCTGTTGACTTCCACTTCTACCACTTAACCACTCTTAAGCCTTTACCACTAAAAGTTCTTTAAGAGCATTCTTAAGAGAACCTGCACTCTTTCATCGTTTCTTATGATCCACAATTTTCTGTCCAATGATTGTCCGTATTTAACACTGTGATACACGTGTCTCCATTTTCTATTGGACCATTTTTTAAAATCCGGTATGGACGTTTTTGCCATCTTCGTTTCGTACGTCTTCATCTTCTTTGACTGTGTTTCTTACCTTACTAATTTAACGTATAGGAAGGAGTAAACAATCAATGTCAAATTCAAAACTAATTGCACTATGGCCGCTGAGGTTTTACGTTTGTTCATCCACTCGCTATTCTTTGATCTTAAGCTCAATGCCTGGCAATGTTCTAGCTGAGCTAGCAAAAGTAAGGACTTTTTCGTTATTTTCCATCAACTAATCCTCTAGAATTTTTCCAGAATGTCAGGGTTGATATTAATGGATGTCGTATACAATGTCAACGAAGGCTGGTGATGATTTTGGGGGATGTTTGGGGCAATGTTGAGAATAGTGGTAAACAATGTTGACGATTACAAAAGACGGTAACAATGTTACAGATGATATCAAAAGATTTTCTTCTGCTTTCTCTTATAAAAGGGCTCGGCCCTGTCTTTCTTATACAGCTCTAAGTCTCAATTGAGATACTAAACTTCATCTAACATATAAAAGCTGCCCTTTAAAATCTTTGATCATCAATTTCTTGAAAATTGTTATCAGTATGCTGTACTAACATTGAGATGGTATCCTTTTACTGTAAAGTATTCGTTGGAATAGGTATTTAGCTGATAAAATATCATTGATTTTAGTCTCTTATACCGATGAAGGTATTTTTATGTAGTGGCTTGTAGGAGTAGTATGTATTGTTGATTCTTGATTCATTTTGGGCGCAAGGGTGTATTAGTATCTGTTTTTGATGCCAAATAATTTCATTTCTTGTCTAAATTAGTTACAATAGAATAGTGCCTTAAATAATGTTTTATTTTAGTACTAAAATAGACGAAATTGTTCGAAAAGTTTAATTTATTTTATAGCATAAGTCTCAATGAACTTCATGCATTTAAAAAAGTTTTATTTTGTTTTTTATAGAACTTGTTATTTAAAAGTATTTTGTTATTATACTTATTGGTTTGATTACGTTTCTAATGTCTACCTAATTAGCTTTTTATATGCATTCTAACAAGCGCTTTTCCTTCTATTTTTAATTGCTATAATAGCGCTAGAATTTCGAACTTTGTACATGGCCTGTCCTTAACTTTCTACGAAAATCCAAACGAATCGATCATTTAAATCAACATTTAAAACACAATATTATTGCTAGGAAATATTTTTGTTAAGAATATTTATTAATGAACTAATTAGATTGAAATTAACCATTTAATTTTTATTGTAGAATTATACAAGAGGCTCTTAGAATATCGAGTGACGAACGGCAGTAAAATACAATGGGCGATATTTGGTTTCGAAGGATTTTTGTTAGTAATGGATGCGAAATTCAGCGAAGTGATTCTTTCGAGTACAAAAATATTGAATAAAGCTCATTCTTACACCTATTTACACCATTGGCTCGGAACTGGTCTGTTAACAAGCACTGGAAGTAAATGGAAAAAACATAGGAAGATTCTCACACCCGCGTTTCATTTTAAAATCTTAGAGGATTTCATACCATCTTTTAATACTGCCAGCGATGTTTTAGTGGACGCTTTGATAAAAGAAGTCGGAGAACAATCCACCAACATTTTTCCTTACATCACTTTGTGCATGTTGGATTCGATTTGTGAGTCGGCAATGGGTACAGCGGTAAACGCTCAAACAGATACGGATTCGTTTTACGTTCATTCGGTGAAACACATGTTGAGAATAATCGTTGAAAGAACCCTTAGTCCAATGGGTCAATTTAATTGTACTTATCAACTTACGAATAATTATAGAGTTGAACGCAAAGCTGTAAATATTTTACATAATTATACGTATTCAGTTATTAAAAGAAAAAAAGAAGAATTAAAGAAATTAAATCAAAATGGGAATACACAAAATTATGACGTGGATGAAATCGGGATGAAACGTAGAAAAGCTTTTCTCGATTTACTTTTGGAATATTCAATGGTAGAAGGAAATACATTATCTGATGAAGACATTAGAGAAGAAGTTGATACTTTTATGTTTGAGGTTTCTGTTAATTTTTTTGTTTTGTTTGAAAATATATTTTTTAATTTTTATAGGGTCATGATACAACTGCAGCTGCAGTTTCATTCTGCTTATATTTATTATCCAAGAATCGGGATTGTCAGGTAGGTTCTAATTTTGCTATTGTAAAATTCTTGTATAAAGCATGTAGTAAAGCAAGTACATTTTTCCGAATATTTCCAGTTCCTCCCATTTTTTTCCGGTTTAGTCTTTACCATTTTCGACATATACCCAGGCTCTTACATTAAAAGAATGTTCGTTTCTGTGTTTGTAAAATTTGCCTTTATTATGGTCATGTGACCTTATTGTATTTTGCAAGGCTAATTGCCTGTCTGTTATTAGGTTATTTGTACCTCCTTGTTTCAATTCTTCAGGTAGAATTCTAATGTCTGTACTTTCTGATAAGTATTTTGGAGCGAATCCAGTAATTGTATGTTCAGTTTAATTTAAGTTTTCTGTAGTCTTGAGCAATGGTCGTCCATGCTGATTTTTTCTTTCCTTTTCATTAATCGTATATCTAATTTTATTAACCCATGAAGTTAAAAAAAATTTGGTTGTATTTTTTTAAATTTTATGATCTATTATATAAAAAATGATTTTATTTTGGAAAAAAAAATATTGCAAAACGTCCCTTAAAAGGGACACTATGCACGGATGGGTTAATTAATGTTTGATTCAACGTCTCATTCAGTCCATTAGAGAAAGGTGAACTTACAGCTGGAAAAATAATTTGTATGTTTCTGTTGCGTAAAAACTCTTTAAATTCTTTAGAATTTATTCCTGGATATTGATCTGTTAAAATCATTCCAATTTAATTATTACCCGATACTTTTTTAATAAGTTTTATAAAGTGGTTTGCACCCTGACTCTTCGATGTCAAAATGTATACGTATCTTGTAAAATGGTCAACAAGACCGTATGTATTTTTTTGTTGATCTAGATCCTGCAAATCCTCCTATTGTATATATAGATCTTATTTGAAAAGGTTTTGTGGCTGGACTTAAGTGAGACGTTAGACCAATCTTGTCTTGTCCTCGAGATTTATTCTTTATACAGATTTCACATCTTTTGCAAAAGTCTTTATATTATTTGTTAAATGTTTTGCAGTATATACACTTGATTTATTTTCTTTTACATTTGTATTATACTTATTATTATTATTATTATTGCTGCCGGGCTGAGGGGTGCGGCCCGTCTCGTTACCGCGACCTATAAGATCTATTGTAACTTTAGCCCTCCAAAAGTTTAGGGCAAATGTAGGTCCTTGATGAACCTTAGTATTGCCCTGAGGTCTTGAACCTTTATGTCGGTAGGTGTCAAGAGAGCTTTACCGAAAATTTTGTGTCTTAAACGGTCAGCTGTTTCTGACTCGTCGTTGCAAAGTCGACATGTTTAATCCTCAGCTTGTTCAATGTGGAAGAGGTGGTATTTTAGGAGCGCATGGCCGGTAAGGTAACCTCAGAGCATCCTTAGATCCCCTTTGCTGAGGCATAAAACCTCTTTGGTTTTGTTTTGCGACGGACTTTTCATACTCTTCGCTTGTCTGTGACGTGGAAGTTCTTTCCAGCGTAAGACTACCTTTGAGACCTCCCAACTGTTGATTATTTGTTTTAGGTGGCCTTTTTGTAGTCCACAACCAGGTTGGGGTCCAATGAAGGGCGTATTCGCTGCCTCTCTGGCCGACTTGTCCGCATTCTCATTGCCCTCAATGCTGCTATGACCTGGAACCACCATGTTACCATAGGGTAACATCATTGTCATTAACACCGAGTTCACTCATTTTGCTGGTACACTCTCTGATCAGTGCGGAGTTACACGTGTAGGCCTGAATTGCCTTTAAGGCGGCCCGACTGTCTGTGAAAATGATTATGGATGCACCTTTCTGTCCCTTCTGTAGGTTCAAAGCGGTGCAGAAGTTTATAGCAAGAACTTCTGCTTGTAAAATGGTTATGTCCGAGCTTATGGGCAGTTTAAACCTACTCCGGATCTAAATGTCTTTGAAGCATCGATGTACCAGGCTAGGGCTCCTCTTTTTAGTTGTGGCCCACCCTTCGGGCAATCATCCCTGCTTCTAAATATGACCTTATACAGCTGGTTGAAATTGTATTCTGTCGATATAAGTCCGTTTTAATTTGAATCAGGTGATTTAGACATGGGTCCTTGAGGAGTTCGACGTGTCCTCTGAGGTTACCCACTTGAAGCTGTCTCCTTTTGTATATATAAATGGAGTGGTGTGAGACCGAGTAGGGCTTCCATAGCAGCCGTTGGACAAGATCTCATTGCACCCGTTATATTAAGACATGCTAACCGCTGGATTTGTGCCAGCTGTTGTTATGCTGTCTTATGTTTTGTTTTTGGCCACCAAACCAATGAGGCGTAGGGTACCATGGGTCTGATTATTGCTTCCCAGTTTCTTCCTAGCAGTCTGCGGCAGATCTGGTTTGCCATGATGGCCTTTTTCCTCACGTTGTCTAAGTGTGAGTTCAAGTTTAGTTTACTGCCTAGTATTACCCCTAGGTAACTTCTGTTTTGAGGTTAATAGTTCTCCTTTCAATGGAGGGTGCTTTTATTGTATTATACCTATATGACTATAGTGATAATGAACGTCTTTAATAAATTTTAAGCTAAACGCCTCTGATAATATAACTTTTTCCTTCTTTTTTACTTTTTTATAGTACACACCATGTCTTCTTATTAATATATCCTTTTGATTTTGCACTTCATCATTATTTTCTTGATCATTTATATTATTTTCTAATTTTATAAAATTTTCTATCTTTAATTTTTCTGCTTCACTGCTACACAGGATTTCTGCTTAAACAATCTGCTTCTAAGTTGTACTTTCTTGAAGAATATTTGATTTCAAAATCATATTGTGATACGTAACATGTTAAATCTCCTAATTCATCATCAGTTCTCTCTTGGATATTTAATTTTTCCAGAGGTTTGTGATCCGAGAAAACAATAAATTTTATTTCCAATCAACCAATATTACCAATATTTTAGAGCTTCTTTGATTGCTAGGCATTCTAAATATATAGCTTTCTTTCCACAGATTTCTTTCTTTTTCTTATTTTATTTAATTTGTTTGAGAATTGGTTTTTCTTAGTTATTTTGTTGTGGTTGTTTCAGTATTGCTCCTACACCTTGTAAATTTACATCAAAAATCGTTAAAATAGGTTTAGAACACAATAGTTTTTTTATTTTTTCAAATGAAAAAATTGTCATTCACTTGTCCAAATAAATTCTTATCCCTTTCTCAATAGGTTATGTAATAGGTCTAACGTAATCGCGATATTTGGTACATATTTATTGTAAAAGTTTATTTTGACTAGAAATTATCTCAAATTTTTCTGCGTTCTTGGGATCGGGAAGTTTCTAATTGAAATTAAGTTATCCTTTATTCGTCGAATTAGATTGTTTTGGATTATATGGCCCAAAATTTTAGTGAATCGGATCCAAAATTATATTTTGAAAATTTTAATCTAAAGCCTTCTTTTTTTATTGCCTTGAAAAGTTTTGTAAGATGTTCAACATGTTCGGAAAATGTTTTCGAAAATATTAACATATCATCTATGTAATTTACCCTAAAATCTGTGAGTTTATGTTTTCTCATTATATTACTATACTTATCCTTTGGAAAATTACTGGTGAGGTTTTTAGACCAAATGGTAGACTGATAGTGACCCTCTTGTGTAATAAATGCTGTCTTATATCTATCTGTGATACGTAAAGGAATTGACCAGCATGCTGAATTTATATCTAAAGTTGAAAAAAAATTGTAATTTCTTGATTTCACCATCAGATCTTTAATTAATGGAAAAGGTTGCGATTGAGGGACAACAATTTTATTAAGATCCCTAAAATCTATGTATAATCTTGATTTTTTCTTTTCATCTCGTTTGTATGCTAATGTTACCGGAGCCGCAAATTTTTGTATGTGTCTCCCATTTTATATTTGGTGGATAGAAAGGAGAAGATATGAAGAAGAATGCGTTTTATTCTTCTGGAATTGGTTTATCGGAATAATCTCTTAAGTTGTTGATATACATTACGTCCTTTGTGGTTATTCTGACTGGAGACGCCATTATTCGTATACTTCCTTCTCTTATTTCTTCAAGAAGTTGCAACTGCTTCAAGTAGTCGTACTATTTTTCATGTGTTAATGATGATATTAGGGCTCCGTCTTGCTCTGTCTTAGGATTTTCAGGATTCTCCAGTGTTCACTACTTTTTCGTCCGCCTATACAGGGGTTTTGAACAAAACCTCGTTCAAATCTTTCGCATCAATTTAGAAACATCACATGTGTTATTCAGTTTGTCATCTAATCTAGATTTATATAGTTTTTGGTTCCTTCATTACTAAGCTGCCTTAGTTTAATTTGTTCTCTGTTCTTTCTTTTTTCTTTCCTCCGTATTTCACCGGGAACGTGTTTCACCTCTTGTAAGATGGACTTTAAATTCTTTGTTACAATGTCTCATGAGATTGCAGATGTTGTTCGTCATCTATTGTTTTAATCCGCGGATTTAAATACTTTCGTTGATCGAAAGGTAAGGATGTACAACCCCTATAATTTGATTTTCAAAGACGTAGAATTACTAAAACTCATAAATCTTCTTCTATCCTGTTCATTTTGATATTAGCTATAATAAGGGCAAATGAAATAATAATAATTCCTGCTATATAATTTAAGCTGATTTGCTGAACGGTTTATACTAACAGATTAAAAAGTATTATAAAGTTTTGTGTTATGAACTCAAAACACTTGTATTGATCTCGTGGATTTAAATTTAAATGAGTACTCTGTACTTGTTAAATAAAGGCTTCAATAAAATGGTATTTACTTTATTTTTAATTTTGTCTAGGATAAAGCTTTCGCAGAGATTAAGGAAATTTTCGCAGATGACAAAGATAGGAAACCTTCTCAAAAGGACCTTCAGGATATGAAATACTTAGACTTAGTCCTGAAAGAATCCCTACGACTGTTTCCTTCCGTACCAATGTATGCTCGCGAGCTTACAGAAGATTTAAAATATGGTATTTAAAAAATACGTTTTTAAAGTTTATATCGTTTTTAACTTCTATTAACATTTTTTTTGTTTTTTTTAAGATGATTTAACAGTACCAAAAGGAACCACAGTGTTACTTTTAGCTTACGTTATGCATTTAGATCCAGATTATTTTCCGAATCCAAAACAATTTAACCCCGACCGTTTTTTAAATAACACCGAAATAAATACGTTTTCTTATATTCCATTCAGTGCGGGACCTAGAAATTGTATTGGACAAAAATTTGCTATGCTGTCGATGAAGTCGACGATATCAAAAGTCTTAAAACATTACGATTTATATCCTGTCGATCACGAATTGGAATTATCATCGGAATCCGTTCTTACTTCACGAAATGGCGTTAAAGTGCAGATAAGGAAAAGAATATGGTAACTCGTAAATGTAATCATATAAATATTGTAGTCATGGATGGTAAGTAATGTAATAATGTAATCAGTGGCGCCGACTTTTTAATATTTAAGGGGGGGCTGAACTTTTTCAAGTGGTACACCTTTTTGATGATCATATTTATTAATTTTTTTAAGTTCACACGTATACCTAGCGAGGTATATCCCTGTACCTCCCCTGTCTAACTAAAATAATAAGAGATAAATAAATCAAAAAACAAATATTTTATTCTCTAAAACTCAAATAAACAATAGATAGAACAGCAAAAAACAACAAAAAACAATAGGTATAATTTAACTAAAAAACATTCTATAATAAAAACATATTTACATGTTATATTTATGTATTTATCTATGTAATTGAAAACGTATTTCTGCTTGTTTGATTCAGGTTAATAAATAAGTTTATGATTTTATTAATATCTAAACGATTTATTTAATTCTTTATGAACGTGGAGGATTGCTAAATTATTAAGGCGTTCCTGTGTCATCGTTGATCTTAAATATGTTTTTAAACGTTTTAGAGTGGAGAAAGATCTTTCCGATGTACAAGATGTTACAGGTACTGTCAACATAATTTTTATTAATTTAACGAATTCTGGAATTAAATCTTTCAATGACTCATATTTATTAGTACCTGTAGGAGCTAAAACTGTAATAATGTCAGATATATCATTTATCAGTATTTTTTCTGTTTTACAAATATCTAAAAACATATTACGATGTAGTAATAACCTGTCTTTGTCAAAATCATTTCCATAGAAATTTACAACTTCGTCTGCGTTTATAACTTTTCCTGTAGGAAAATCTTCACAATCTGACATAAACCTTGTTGTTTTCGAATCAAATCTTTCATTTAGTGAATTGACGGACATATCAACAATTTCAAAATATATTTTACGAAACATATCTTCGGGACTATCAAATACATGTGGATTGCTGCCATCTTCGTATCGTTTAGGTCTCTTTCGTGGTCTAGGAATCAAAGGTTCGTGAAGATCTAAACTTTTTGCCTTTTTCACCACATCACTCCACATATCGTGGAAAACATTCCTTTTTGCTTGTACAACAATTTTCAAATTTTCTATATAATTTTTAACATTGCGGAATGATAATGATTTGCATTGCAATGATCGGTTAACCTCTTCAACCCTTTCTAAAATACTTATTAAAGCACATGTAAAAAACAAAAATTGAAATTGGCATAATTGGGTTCGTAATCCGTTGGCTTTAGCCCCAAATTCAGTTTTTTCTAAAGAAATTTGTTCGAGAAGTTCAACGAGTATACTGTAATTTTCTAACACTGTTTTGAGGGATTTAACGCGTACGCACCAACGGGTTGGGCAAAATGGCCGCAATGCACTATAATTGTTTACTTGTAAACCTTCGTCAGAAATGGCATTAACTGTTTGTATATTTTGAAATATAGATAATCGCTTCGGAAAACCTTTAACAAATGTAATTAATTCACGTACTATAGCTAAAAAATCACGAACTTCGCTTATGTTTTGCATAGTATCATGTACAATTAAATTCAAATTGTGTCCCGAACAATGTATATATAATGCCCTCTGTTCCAAGTCCCTTATTTTAGTTTGTAGTCCATTCAAGTACCCGCTTACATTAGCCGCTCCGTCGTAGCAAGTAGCATGTTCGTAGCATGTTATACAAGGTTGTTGATGTAGTGTTGCAGGTTTCATAAAAACCCAAAAATACTTCCTCAATAATATCTTTATATCTTGAATTAAGAATATCAGCTGACAAAAGAGAAATTATTTCATTCAATATTTCATGCGATAACCATTTGTAATTAGTTCTTTGCAACCAAGATTTTAATTCCGGAACATCTTCAGCTCTAAGTAATAATAACTGATAAATATTAGATGATTCATCGGTATGACCCCGAATGACCCTGTAGAGTTAAGTAGCGCAAAGACGACACAACTTTTGTTAAAGCTACACGAGCTTTTCGCATGCCATTTAATTTATTTTTATTCAAAGATGCTACAACATCGGTTCCTTTATTTAAAGATAATTGAATTGAAACGGCGAAGCGATGAAGGTCTCCTTGCTCATGAGACTTGAAGCGCTCTATTGCTTTTTTCCAGTTCGAAAATCCCTCAGTTACAAATGCTTTTAAAGAATCTAGAATGAAGATTTATGTTTTGTATGAGGCGGAAAAGAATTAGCGGCACTAACATTTTTACATATACTACAAAATACTTTGTTGAGATGTTCGTTGTAATCTATCCATGGAAACTGACTACACCACTTCCTATTATATTGTCTTCCAAATTTTTTTGTAACATTAACTATACTAGTTTCTGTCGATAAATTGGTATCCTTATCAAAGGAGGAAGAAGGGTTGTTACCGTCAACAGAAATGGGTGCTAATGTAAAACCGGAAACATTTGGAGCTGATGTGTTCATACTATTTAGGCGTTTTACAAATTTGTCCATGCTACAAAAAAGTAAAAAATGTCATTCTTTCGTTACTCGTTATTTGTAAACTAACCTTTATATCCGTATAGTTAACCGCGAAGATTGCTGTTCTGAGATGGCTGCACATAAAGCTCGCTCGAGTCAATTTTTTCTAAGTTTACGAGAGCAATGAGTTGTAAAATAATATAGGGTCCGGAAATGGACCTACAGCGCGGGAAGTACGCGTGGAAGGGGAAAGCTATCGTCGAGCGGAGCGAGTAGTGCGATTCGGTATTCGACCGCGTGAACGTCGTTCTGAACTTGCTCTTTGTTGTATGCAATAAAGACGTTTTAAAGTTTAACGAAAAGTTTTACAACATTAATTCCCTAATGTTTATTTATTATAGATACATTTACTTTTACAATTTTCCGGGGGGGCTCAACCCCGCTGCCCCCTGTAGTCGGCGCCACTGAATGTAATGGTATTTTGTAATATTTTCTTGTAATCATACATTTAATAATAAAAAGTTAATAAATGATATAAATTTTTTTCTGATATAACTTTATTCAGCTATCGACCGAGACGTTATAGGGTCTTTCCGCTTACATTAATTATAAAATAACAGTATACTTATATTTGTGAATTTATGTTGAGTTCTTCCTGTATTAATTCACATAATACCAAAAGGTGTGGAACAAGTCAAATACAATAATTCAGTCAAAATCACAATATTCTATTTTCTCTTTAAAAAAATCATCTAAGTTATACAAAGTTTTCTCAAGTAAGTACCCCTTGAGTTTCCTTTTCAATTGGTGTAATGGTAGTTTCTTAACATTAACATCCAAGTTAATAGTAAGTTAGAATGAATCATTTCGTATCTTAAAAAGAATTCACTGTAATAAGTTTTTACAAAAATTACACATTCTAACACATATAACGCCCATAAAGTTAAAATTTTGTATTGTTTAAATGCAGATTTACAACTGTCTCGTGGACTCATACCCAGTACCGCTCTTACACTTTTGGACGATAAATACACGCTTGGCCTCAACCGAGTTGCCCCAAAAAATGACACCGTAGCGCATTCTAGTCTCCGCACACGCGTAATAGGCGCACAATGACGAGTTTACCCCCATACCACGCGAGACACATCTGAGAGCAAAACATATGCCCGACAATTTTGACGATAGCTCCTCTATGTGCAACTTCCATGAAAGACTCACGTCGATCTTCAGTCCGAGAAACTTAAAAGCACTCACGGGTAACAAGCTTTCCTTTTCAAACACGATGTGAATCGGATCACTTCCAAATGTCAAAGTATTAGTTTTACCTATGTTCATTGTCAGATTATTGTCTTCAAACCACGCACATAGTTTACATAGATTGTTTTTCAATGAATGAATTATTGTCTCCCGCTCTTTTTCACTCACTACCAACGTGGAATCATCAGCAAAGAGAATAAGCAGGTCGTCAGTTATCTTCGGTAACTCATTGATATATACATACAAGAAATAACAGGGGGCTAATATCGAGCCCTGAGGCACACCACTCTTAACCTTCGTCTACTCCGATCTAATTTCTTTACCATGGTCATCCCGCGATGCAATACACTGATATCTCTCAGACAAATATGAAACAAAAAAGTCCAAAGGTGTTCCTCTGATACCCATATTCTCCAGTTTAGCGATCAATGTTTCATGATGTACGCAGTAAAATGCCCTAGTTAAATCCATAAACAAGCAGCATGTTATATCTTTCCTATTTAAGTTTTCTATAATATTTTCAATAAGTTGGAATATCGATCTTGTTGTTGTTCTTCCCTTAATGTAACCATTTTGTGAGTTATTTAGCAATTTATGTTTAGTTAGATAATTCATTACCCTATTAAACCCATCTTCTCAATAATTTTTGCAATATTTGATATAAGTGCAATAGGTCTGTAATTTGAAAAATCATTTACTGCATTTTTCTTGAACATCGGTTTAATGATCGTCAGCATTAAATTCTTAGGAAATATTCCCTTTGTAAAAGAAATATTTATTATATACGCAAGGGGCGTGGACAAATAATTCGCACAATACTTTAGTACTCGAACAGGAAAACCGTCCACTCCTACAGCTTTTGTATTGTTAAGACCCCTAATAGTGTATTCTACCTCCTCACTGTTGGTCAAATACATAGCAAACGACGAATGTATCGCCTTAGACATTAGTTGTATTTTTTGCCTCTTTTTATCAATTTCATTTTCATCAATTGATACAAAATGCTTATTCATAGCATTCAATACGTCCACTTCACTGTCAAAATCATTCATAAATGTTCCCACATTGTTGTATATGTATTTAATAATAAACTTACTTTAATAATTATGATTTATTTGTAACTATTGTACATGTAAATTTGCGAATTGTTAACTGTCGAAAAACATATTACCAACCCACGAATGTCAAAACTCCCCAGATATATAACACCTTCCTCTTCCCCGTTTAAAAAGTTTAACCACTGCAAATTAAGTTGTCAAAGATTTAACTTATTTGGAGGTTTCCTAATTCTAGATGATTTCCTTATTCCTGGAACATTCTGTTGTATCACTTCCGGAATTGGATCTGAATCACTTTTCTCTGTATTTTCTGGTTTTGGCGTTTCTTCAACAGCCGGCTCAGTTTCGTCATTGGTTTTTCCACAACTTGTCAGTTGGTCCTGATGTCGTCGGTGCGACTGTTCCTCGATATTGACCTCATAGTGTAGTTTTCCATGTTTCTGCGATACCTCTCCGAACTTCCACTTCTCATCTTTGTTAGCATAAAATCTCGCCTGTACATAGTCACCTACTTGGAAATCTCTCGAAGTTCCA